GCTTAATCTGTTATCATTATAATTTAGGACTTGGACTTTGACTACCATTTCGGTGTAATGGTAACGTCATGTCCTGCCTCCTCTGCCCCCACCTTCCTCTGCAACAGGGTCCGTCTCCTGCTGTGTGCAAGTTGATCTGTAAACAAGCAGCTCAGGGAGATTCTTCAGGGGCGGTTAACCTTCCAGTCCATGTGTGAAGACAGCTGTAGTCTACATCTTAAGTACAGTGTTTATGAGATGGGAGTGGTTCTTATGTGCTACTGCACGGTGGTGCACTGGTTAGCGCTGTAGCCTCACAGCGAGAAGGTTCCTGGTTTGAATCCCTGTCTCTCTGTGTGGAGTTTGTATCTTCTTCCTGTGCTCTGGAGTCCAAAGACATGCTCATTGTTTGCTCTAAATTGTCAGTAGGTGTGGCTGTTTGTCGGTCCCTGTGATTTACGACCGCTCCAGGGTGTAACCCCGCATCTTGCCCAACAGGTGGGATCGGCTCCAGCGACCCTGAAAAGGGATAGAGATAATGGATGGATGAGTTGGTCCTTACAGCTCTCTGTCTATATATATCAACATTTTGAGTATAGATAATGGGAGCAGAGAAACATTCTGACTGAACAACTATTATTTCTATATTCCCAAAGCTTCAGTGTGTTTTGTCAGATCAAACATTCAGTATGTAGAACTGGCAGTTCTCCTGAGCACACCTGAATTTAGCTACATTTCAAAGGGGCTTCTGCATTGTAATGACATCAATAGCTTCAGCAGACCTTGGATTTAGCTGTTTTTTTTTCTCTGTTCAGAGGAACAGGACTTCTGTGGGAACAGAGATATTAAGTTGAAAGGAAAATCCTCTCATTGACAACCCAGCAAAACTCCGACAGGCCAAGTTTGCAGATTTGGATGTTTTTTGAAGAGAGTGAGAGAAGAAGAAGAGGCTGAGAGTCAGCATTCTTGTTTCTCATTGGTATGAGCAGGAAAGTAGGTTTTAAAGAAGAGGGAGCTCAGGAGCATGGCCCGCTCTCGGAGAGTTATTGGTTATGATAAGAGGATGTGCAGTGGTGGCTGTGCTGCAGTGCTCACTTTAACAAGAAAGAGCCACACACTGAACTGCAGATTCTCCTCCTTATTTTAAGTCGCCGAATAAAGGGGAGAGAGTGTTTGTGCTTTTTCTACGTTATGAATGATCAATGAATCAATTTTTATTTGTATAGCGTCAACTCATAACAAGTGTTATCTGGAGACACTTTACAAAAAGCAGGTAAAATACCTTACTTATTGTCTTTTAACATTACAAAAGCGCAGTTAGAAGACCATACTCATTGTTATGTTACAAAGACCCTGATGATTATTTGATCCCTGATGACTGATTGGTGTGTTCATGAAGAGTGTCTAAAGACATCTGTATGATTGACAGCTACAGTATCAAACTGTTCCTGCAGATTGATCACTCTTTAGGCAGACATCCCCAATATTTCATCATTCAGTTATTTCAGCATCCTTTGAACCTCTTTGGTGCCGTTATTGTATGCCTTGCTGGATACAGGGACTCTGCCACTCAGTGGAGACCGTAGACTGTATAAAGAATGACGTCTCAGTGACCTCACCTGTTGGTTACCAGAGGAGAATTTTAAAGCCAAACATTTGTGGTTGCCATGTCAACATGCTGTCTCAACCTAATTTTCGATCAGCCTATCACAGGCAAGAAGGGGGAATCTGAGATTGGCCTTAAGCCTCCTGGAGAACAGCTACAACACGAAATATATATCAAAAAATATTCACCAGTGGCTTATTGGGCATCAAACATCAAACATGTTTATTTCTGGGCATTTGATCATGGGGTGTTAATGGGACTTCCAGGGCCTTTGCAGCCAGCCTCAAGTGGACACTCGAGGAACTGCAGTTTTGTACACTTCCGTTAATTTTTTAATTACGGCCCTCCACAGATGAAACAGAAAACAAGTAGCTGGTGTCCATCAGAGAAATCCTCAAACTTATCCCAGCTGAGAGGTCATCAAACTGGACCCTGCTCAGCCTCAAGTAGCTGGAGGAAGCAGGAAAAGTGAATCAGATGAAGTTCATGTAGAAGGAGCTCTGGGGTCCTCCTGGTGATGTCATGAACCAGACATTACATTTGTGATGACAATGAGGGCGTGACGGAGTGGGTTGAAGAAGGTACCTAGAGTGAGAGATGAGACACACAAGATGTTTGTCTACTTTTTCCTCCTGATCATAATAAATTCCAACAAAAACGGTCCTGCTGCATCAGCGAGAGTCGTCAACAATCCAAATCCAGTAAAAGTTTCAATCCAAACACATAAAGATCCATGTATTGATTTAAAACCGCTGTTTACTCTACCTCAGTTCATGCACTCTGACCTTCCAGCTGACACTGTGACATGCCTGTGAGTACGAGTGCATATGGTGATGTTTGCGATGTAAAACAGAATGTGTCTTTAGTTAAAATGACTGCAATGTGCTTCTAATTCTGATAGATAGCCAACTGCATTTTCCATTACGCTACAGATAGCATCAAGCTATATTTCATGTGAATCCCCAGTGCCCATGCATGTAGATATTAGGACGTGTGATATCAGGTGTTAACTGGCTGTTTGGTGTGAGGCCTTGCTGTTTTTATTGCTGTTTTTATTACAGCAACTTACAACACATACAACACAACGATGAACTGACACAGCCGGGCAGAAACACAGAGACTAAATAGACACAGGGGTAATCAGGTGAGGACAATCAGTGCAATCACACTGGATGGAAACACAGAGGCAGGGAGAAAATACAAGAAACACTGAGGACAACTACAAACTAAATCATGAAACACTAAGACACACAGAGAACTCAAGAAAGTACATAACCACTAGAACAAAGAAAACAAGGATAAGAAACTACAAAATAAAACAGGAAACACTAAAGACTAAACTATGAAACATTAAGACAAAAAACTCAAGGGAAACAATAACCACAAGGAAACCTAAACTTTGAAATAGACAAAATACAAACTAAAGACTGAATCATGACACAAAGTGCAACAAAATGAGTCCTCAACAGGAAGCTATACTCTCTGTTTTCTAGTTTAACAGATTCTCAGTGATCACACGTCCATCTCTCGACAATCTGTCACATCCAGAAGGCTGTTACAAATATAATCTTCGTCTGTGCCATGGTTTACACACCGCATCATTCTAATTACATACCTGCCTGGACTATAATCAAAATGATATTCAAAATAGTTTCAGGTTCATGTCTGCCTGTGGGAAACAAGAGCAGGTTTCATCACACAGCATATCCATCATGAAACAGGTAGAATCAGGCTGACAAAAGAAAAATATTAAAAACCTCACATAAATCCAGCCAGAGCCTCTGAGATCAGCTTCCACAGGTGGGAACACACACACACACACACACACACACACACACACACACACACACACACACACACACACACACACACACACACACACACACACACACACACACACACACACACACACACACACACACACACACACACAATCAAAGGCTTCACCCTAACACCTGGCCTGGAGCTGGAGGAGTGAAGCAAGAATGAAGGCATGAAAGGTGAACAATGATCCACAGGAGGTGGAGAGACACAGACAGGAGAGAGAGAGTGTGCAGGTCATCTGTGCAGGTACGAGAGAGGACGAGCAGCAGAACTCAGGGCACATCCGATAGATGTGGACTCCTTCAGGCACAACACAAACTCTACTTTCTGCTCCTTGTTCTTCCTTCAGAAGATTCTTGTTTTGTCTCTCAGCCTTGAGCTCTGTCTTTGTTTTGTCTTTCTGTCATTGCTCATCTTTTGCCGCCGTCTTATATAAACCTGTCACTGTGATCCACTCATCTGTCCGCCCTTTTACCCCTCCCTCCGTGTACCATCAGAGGCTCCTTACTAACAAAGATATGTGGAAACTACATCAGAGAGTTTAAATTTAAACAGGCTGAAGTGAACCTGAAAATCTCTTCAAACAATCAAAACTACATTTACATAACTCCATGCTCTGCTAGCTAAAAGCTCTGGATGCAAAGTGAAGTTCAGAGAGGTTCTCTTTTGTCTCTTTTTTTTATTTTTTAACATGAGCCTCTTTTAATCGACTTTTCCTCAGGGTACAGATTCAATCGATATGAATTTCTGATGATGCTCAAAGAGTGAGGGTGCTCTCACACTGTGAATTTCCCCTGAACATTACCTGCTGAGTTCACACATTGGCTCATCCCGAATTCTTGCGAACATATTTTGACGGGGCCGGCAGGAGAAAAATGCATCCCTTTTTCATTTCCACCTGCAGCTCACCTCAAAGATTTGTGGAATCTCGTTTCAAATGTGTGTCAGTGATTAGTGCATAATATGTGAAAATATCCTTACTGACTATCTCTCTCAAACATTTAGCACCTCCTCCACCCTACTGAATACTATTTATTAACAGTATAAATAGGCTGTGGCTCAGTTGGTAAAGTCAGCCGTCTTTCTACGGCGTCTGGGGTTCGATCCCCAGCTCCTGCAGCAACATGTCCGATGTGTCCTCGGGCAAGACACTTAACCCCAAGTTTCTCCCGCTGCTTTGTTGGCGGCGTATGAATGTGTATGAATGGATGAGTTAATGCTGATGGACTCTTTACTCAGCAGCCTCTACCTGAATGTGTAGGTGTGACCTGTGGGAGTAGTCAGAAGATTAAGTGAAGTTAATTTACAATTTACCATAATACATACTTGTGTTATTGAAAGACAGAAATGTGAAAATGTGTCTCATCTAATTCATTTTTGGTTATGTGAATTATTTCTAGCAGACACGCTGAGGAGTGACTGGTATCCATGATAAAATAACATGTCCTCACTTAATGTGCTGGAAACAGTGAGCTGTATCACTGCTAGATAGGTCAAGAAGATCAAGATTTAATTCTTTGTATGTCACAAGCTGTTGACTGATGTTATGATGAGAGGAAGTTAACCTTCATTTTGATGCGTTGACCTGCAGCTCCAGTCGGACCAGGACCACGGAAACGGTCAAGTGAAGTACGTTTTGTCCGGAGAGGGGGCGGGCACCATCTTTGTCCTTGACGAGAACAACGGTGACCTGCACGCCACGCGCCGTCTGGACCGAGAGGAGAAGTCGTTTTACATCCTCAAGGCCACGGTGACCAACAAACAGACGGGAATCAAGCTGGAGCCGGAGACCGAGTTCACTGTCAAACTCCACGACATCAACGACAACGAGCCCCAGTTCGACAAAGAGGTTTACACGGGCAGCGTGCCCGAGGGCTCGGATATCGGTGAGACTTGAACTGTGCCTCGTCTTTAATAAGTAATGAAAGCATCGAGGGGATAAACTGAATGTTTTTATGCGTCTCTCAGGTACGTCGGTCATCCAGGTGACAGCCACAGATGCTGATGACAGTATGTATGGAAACAGCGCTAAACTGGTGTACAGCATCAGCCAAGGTCACCCGTACTTCTCTGTGGACCCAAACACAGGTACGTTACCACATTCACTGTATCACTTACACTCCAACATGATTAACATTAATTACTAAACAATCTCATAAACTGAAGCTATTTTAAATCCTTTTATAAAATAAACCCTCGGGAATAATCCCTCAGCACATCATTTGTGTCTGATCGCCGTCTCTGAACAATTAAAATAAACTTCATTGTTCCTGCAACCGACCGGCACCTGAGAGTGTAGGCTGGCTGTGCACGGCGTGCCCGGTTGATCATGTGAAAATAAACTATTAGGACGGGGACGGGGACGGGTTGTTAGTTCAGCTCTGACCATCTTCAATGTGTAGGAAAATTTGAGGTGATTGAACCAAATGAAACTTGTATTTTTAACATTTTTATGATGTTTGGAGCATGAATTCGTGAGATAATGACGTTTAATGTCCCCGATAAACGCACTGTACTTTCATTTAGCCAACTGTTAGCAACCACCTTTAAGGACACTCTTTTGCTTGTGTAACCTTATTTCAGGCGTCTAACCACCAACCTATTAAAAAAACCTGTTGAGTTTGAGACAAACGACCCCATGGCGCTAAAATGCTAATTTACTTCCTGGTTCCAGGATGTATTTCTGTGGCGCCCCATAATGAGCCAGGTCTCACCTGGATGGACTAACCTGGATGAATAAAGGTTAAATAAATAAATTAGATGTTATCTCAATCTGTGACAGGCGTCATCTGTCAATCAAAAAGATGGTTTTAGTCACGTCCTTTATATTTGTGGCCATGAGGAAAAATCATACTCAAGGCGGAGCAACAGGTTTTTAATAATACATCCACAATGTTTCCCTCTATGCAACCGGGGAGTAGTGGTCTTTTTCTAAGGGAGGAGGTTCTCTAAGAAACAGGCGTTAAGACAGTTTCAATTATAACATGAACTGATTAATAATTTAACATCTACGTTTGCATAATCCTAACTCATCTCAAATTTAAACCATAACAGCAAACTTACATCATGTTCATTAACCTTTTAGTCATTCAGAGTTTTGGGATCATTCTTAATCACAGGGAATGATATTTAACAGATCATTTAAAAAGGAATATGGGAGGGGGGTGGAAAGCAAACCCAAATCATCTCATTGTACACCACAAACAATATAGCCTTTGTTCATCTCCGTCACTCTTCTCTGAAAAGATGAAGTGGATGTTTCACTGCCAACAACATAAATTCAATTAGCATTTTAATGAAAAGGTAGCTTATATTATTCCAGGTTTACAAAAAAAGGTGCCCACTGCTGTCTGCACCCACATAATCAAATAAAGAATCAAACTTCAAAACCAGCTGTAACCTGCAGCTGTCTCTATAAGAAATCCATGTAATCTGAAATCAACTGCTTTTCTTTGAGCTTTAAAGGTCACATATTCTCCTCCTCTTCAACCAGTTTAAATAAGTCTCAGAGCTCCTCAAAACATGTGTGTGAAGTGTCTTGTTCTAAATCCACTCTGATCCTGTATTTGATCATGTCTATAAACCCCTCTATTTCAGTCCTGCTCAGAACAGGCTGTTTCTGTGTCTGTACCTTTAAATATGTAAATGAGCTGTGTCTGACCACGCCCCCTCTCTGGAAGGGCTTGGGTGTACTCGGGCTTTCTCGCTCCATGTCCTATTGTTTAAGGTGAGAAGGCAGACTCAGAGGGCAGAACATACACCTAGCTGTGGGAGTGTCACCCACCTGGGGGAGGGGCTACTGGAAAATCTCCAAACGGCCTGTTTGAGCACACATTTTCTGAAAAGTGGAGCAGGTAAAAGACGGAGAGGATGGTCTTTTCTCATCATTGGGGGGTTTATAGACGGACTAGGGACACATATTAGAGTTAGAGGAACATGGTGAATAACATGTGACCTTTGAAAACGTAGCGTTTAGTCAGATGTTGGTCAAAGAGGAGCTGAAGACTGATCAGTGTGTGGAAAGAAAATCAAGAGAAGGATTTTGTGTTGTTTCTGTTCAGGAGTGATCCGGACCGCCCTGGGTCCTAGGGACATGGACCGCGAGCAGAGGGAGCACTACCAGGTGGTGATCGAGGCTAAAGACATGGCCGGGCAGAGAGGGGGGCTCACCGGGTCCACCATGGTCAACATCTCCCTCACCGACGTCAACGACAACCCGCCTCAATTCACCCAAAGTAAGACAGCTGCACTCACACAGGATTGTAGGGTTTGGGATCAAAAAGGGGGCCAGGATGCTGTTGTTTTCTGTCATATGTTAAATATGTATCGCTTATAGTCAGGATTAAATGCTTGTAGTCGTGGAGGGTAAAGTTTCTTTCTGATTTCAGTTAGCATCGGCTCTTAACTTCACATCGAACATCAGGATGTGGAAATGTCAGAGAGTTTCTATCCACTAATCAAACGTGCCCTCAGGAATAAATAAGGAGTTTCTTTTTTTTAATGAGAAAAGTTTTATTGATTTATTTCCAGGGTAATAAAACTCTGGTTTCTGAGTGTGAAGCTAACTGTTGGTTTTCAATTACACAGAGTGCAAAGAGAGCCAAACAACTTTTCAAAGTCAATCAGACTATTTCTCTTCGCTGATTTCACTGCATCACAACTTGTTCATGCTCTGACAGCTGCTGCGGGAAGTCTTTGAAGCTGTGCTAGTTCAAGTTGAATCAGCCTGTTTGCTGTCAGTCCAAAACTTCACACAACAAAAAACAGAAATCTCAGTTGATATGCTGAAGTTTAAGAGGCCGTGTTTCCAAAAAGCTTTTACTGCTTTCTGCAGTCATTCATAAGAGGGCTTCATGCAATACAAGCAAGAGAAGTACGTCAGCCTGAGCTCATCTGTGGGGTTGGGTTTATGGTGTGTTCAGGTCAAGAACAGCACAAAGACAGATTTCAGCCAACGTGTGACTAGCTTTTTACCATTACTGTTTGTTTGTTGATGAGGGAGGGGTCATAGGTCACAGACACTGGACTCCGGGCCTGAGTCACTAAGAATGAATTACGGCCGCTAATAGCTCCGAACATTGTGCACCATTTGCTCCCTCTATCTGCTCCGTCTCAAGATCTACTTCACAAAGCAAGAAGCTCGAATGATACTCAAGCACAAACACGCCCATATATGGTCGTCCTGCTCTGTTCACTTTGCTCTTGTTTTTTGTCTAAATGTGAAGAGAAGCTGTCGGCACCTTCCCTCTGCGCAGAGCTGAGCTGTAATGCTGACGGAGCTGTTTTGTTCACATAAAGATGATGAGCTGTGAGGTGCAGGGAAACTTTTTCAGGGTTTATTTTGATGCCTGACTTGAAAACTGTAGTTTGAGTTTCACCGTTTTGAACAAAACTTCTTCTCTGAATGGAGCCAGAAAGAACCCGACTGATTCAGCCTCATGGTTATATTAATAACAGCTGTGCCAAAGTGATATTTACAGATTTTACATCCAGATATCTTTTTTGAAAGGGGCTGTTAATGAATGATAATGGATCAGAGACTGCTTATGTTCTAGGTGCATTTTGGCTATGCTTTGTTAATTAGACGGTGTCTTTTTGATTCCTTTTCACCGTTCACAGATAAAAATAGTTTCTCACAAACTCTCACAAAGTCATTGTGTCCATCACAGCGGGAGTGACGTTCACTCTCATCGTGTCGATCCATTCACAGTCCAGCTCTGACTGCTGCGTCCCGCGCGCAGCTGTTCTCGTTCTTTCAGGGGAATTAAACAGCCAAAAAGCCTTCTTAATTAATTCAACTTAATTAATCCTTAATCACAGGAGCAGTCTCACTGTAAACACGAGGGTTTGCACCCTGCTGTGTTTCATTAGTCAGGGGGAGAAACACTCTGATGCACTGTCTGTTAATTAAACATGTGATATGTATATTTGATCGCCCGGACATGCACTGATCTGTGCTGCAGCTTCTGATTATTTCAATGATTGATGACTCTGGAGAATACGGGTGTCATTAAGTCTGTGATGTGTCCGGGGAACACTCTGACCTACAGTCCATAATCTAAACACAGATATAAAACAGAGAAAAGTAGAATATCATTCAGTTTTAAAGTTTAAGCTCAGTCAATGTATGACATTTTAAAAACTGATGAGTCATTTTGGATCCACCACAAGATGTCTGTTAGATCAAGTCATTACAGTTGAGTGGCCTTTTTTTTCTTTTCACCTGTTAGAAGAGACTTTCCCAGGAAGACTGCAGAGAGCCTCATGCCACTGATTCCCATGGCAACAGAGCCCACTGTCGTCACCAGTAATGCATCAGTTAATACGTTTCATTTATCAGAGCTGATGTTCAAAGTCAATAAAGACTCACCCTCCCTTCATGGCTTTCTCTATTAGTGTACATGTTTTGAAAGATTAAATTAAGATTTAAAAACGAAAAGATTTAACCATAAATGTTTGGGATCATTCTGGTAGATTGCTTCAGTCTGCAGTAATGAAGCTTTCATTCTAAGTGTTTGAAGAAGAAGAGGCCTTGAAGTCCTAGTCCTAGGGTTCAGGAGTGTAACGACAAGAGGATGGCAGGCATGGCTGTTCCCAGATGTTTCCCAGCCAACTCAGCCTGGCGGTTCTGGAACTGCTCTTGGCCTACACAAAAGGAGCAAGACACAAGCAGCTCACGGGGATGATGGTGGTGGACGCAGATCAAGCCTCCTGCTGGATATGGAGGAAGGCATGAGGAGGAAAGCTGGAAGCCAAAGGAGCAGCTGGGAGCAGAGAGTGTTGTGGTTAAGAGTGGACACACTCAGCGATGGTTGGGTACCACCTGATGACATCTGCTCCCAGCCGACGGCTTACTGGTGCCTCGTAGCTATCCAAAGATTACAGAACAGAAAGGATGCCAACAAAGAGATGTGTTTGTCAAAGTATGAAAAAAAACAGAAAGAGCATTTTCATTACATTACATTTCTTCTTTTAAGCCACCAGACCCGAGCACTGTTTTAAAGGGTTACTTTGGATCATACATAAGGATGATATTTAAGTCCCTCCTGGATCTGTGTGAATTAACTATGCACATACTGTTGTCCATGTTCGGTTGCTCTGATTGGCCCAAACTTTGTAGAAAAGTGACATAACGTCTTCTAGATTATGCAGAGTAACAGGAGCTCTGTCTCTGGGTAAAAGATGTTGCGGGTGAACTTTTAAAATGTCACAGTGAGTGTAGACAGGATGCTGGCGAGGCAGGCACACACTACCCCGAGGCCTCTCAGCCTCTCGGGCTTCAAAGGTTTACTGTGTGGATATTAGCTTGTGGTAATTCAATGAAATATACATTTGTTTGGGAATATCCTCTAATGCACATCTTAACCTGAAATGACAAGCAACTCAAAGTTGCCTCTGCATTTTATTTCATTTTGAGTGTCTCAGTTGATATTAAGCTCATATGCTTCATATTTAATTATTCATTTATTAGAATACTGGAAACAGTTCTTAAGTCTGCATGGTGGAATCACAGGATTCTTTAACCGTGCTCCTCTTATTGTTTTGTTTGTTTGTCACCAGTATCTAATAAGAAGGGAGTAAGAACCAGTGAGGCTGTACTATCACCTCCTTACAGTCACCCAGTGGCGGCTGGTGCGTTGATCTTCAGGGCAGGAAACAGTATCTCACAGATGGACTGGACTGTGTTTGTTAGTATAATGCTAACACATGCTGGAAAATTCCAGTAACTGGTTAACAGAATTAGCATCACATGTAGGTTCTTTTAACAATCAGTTTTACTTAACATCAACAAAACACCACATATACTCATACTTAGAGTCATACATTTCTTAAACTCGGTGGAGACAAACTGTAAAAACTGCTGACTCATGCTAATCTGGTCTGCTGCTCTGATCCAGTGACACTGAATGACTTGCTCTTCATGTCTCACTTCATGGACCGGTCCCTCTGCTGCCTACTTTTGGCTGGTGGTGTGTAAGGTCATGCATTATGTCTGCGCCCTTCAGATCTCCTCTCTCTCTCGTATTGAAAAGAAGCACACTTACAACGAGAGTCAATAGAGGAAGCAGACATCCTTCAGCCTTTGGCCTTAAAGTCCCCATTAAACTGAACATCCAGAGTATCTCAGTGTCATTTTCTTCTGAAATGGGATTGAACCAATCACAAGTAAGAAGGCGGGACCTAGTGTTGGAATGAATTTGATTGGATTGTTCCCTTGGACAAAGCTTAAATCAGTAATTAAATCTGATTTGTAGTCTGCTTTTTGGATGTTTCATCAGGCTGAATTCCAGATGGAGCCTGGACACATGAAATGATCGTAGCCTCGCTGTCGGCACCATAGCTTTACTCAGAGAGTGTTTGGTTCAAAGCGTTTGGCATGTGCTACTCTTGCTTCCTTTTTGACTTTTAGAATAAAAGGAAACGTATTACTGCCGAGTTCCAGGAATCCAAATACATTTATTTTATTTTAATGATGCACACTTTCAGTGAAATTCTTTCTCTGCATGTCCACAGGCAGTGTCTTATCTTAACCACATCAGCTCCATGCTCACCGACAGTACAGCAAACCTTAAGTGCAGGCGGTCGACAATCCGTGCAAAGGCAGTTTATTTGAACAGAGAGCAGTACAAATCTGAACAGCAAATCAATAAGTCATGCTCTCAAATTGAAAGAACACACTCTTGGATAAAGTGAAATAAATAATTCCAGCAGCAGAATAAGTTCATTTCTGTCTCATGACTAGTTTCTAATTAAGCTGTTAGTTGGGTTGTAAACGCGATGCAAAGGAAGTGAGAAGGGGTCTGGACTTCATTTTGCCTTTAGGCTTCTTTAAAGCTAACTGTTATATTGTAATCATGTGGAGGCAGTGATCTCTGACACACGCTTCACAACATATAAGCAAACAAACAAACACACAAACTCTGTGTCTGGTTAAATATCTGCAGGTACTTTAAGGCCGATTGTCTCGTATCGTTGCTATCTGGAGAGGGTTCAGGGTTAGACAATGAAACAGTCCGTGCTGCGCAGATACAATGGTTTTTTAGAGCGTCAGAAGACGTTTAGAATGACGTCATTAAGCGGTCCACTTCCTGGTTTGAGCACGATTCACCTTCACATCTCCCGCAGACCGTACCCGTGAGCACAGGAATCGTGCCCCAGACCGCCTCTTCAAGCCCACTTGGGCATGGTACCCCAGTTCACACTGATCAAAAGAACCCCACTCAGGGGTCAAGCG